AATTTCATGTAACTTACATTTCAGCAGAGGAAGAACAGCAAGAGACAAGTACAAAAGATCTCATGTAGATGCTATGAAGAAAAATTATAGAAAAGGGAATAAAGTGGGGGGCGTGCTATTTTGCATAGGCAGTTACAGAGGGCTTCCTGGGAAGAGTGACATTTGAATAGAGACCCAGAGGACAAAGGGGGCGGGGAGCTAATACCTGGAAATTGTCACAGGTAGAAGAAAAGGTAAATGTGAGGTCCTGGGTGGGAAGATGCCTGGGGCATCCAAAGTCTGGCAAGAGAGAAAAGTGGATTGAGTGGAGTGGTAGCAGCTGGGATCAGTGAGGTCGGGGTAGAGGTAGTGAGACCTTGTAGGGCACGGTCAAGACTTTGAGTTCTGTTCTGGGAGAAGGGGAAGCCGTGGTTGGACTCCAGAGCAGCTGGGGAGTCTGGATTATGTTTTAGAAGGGCCACTGGCTGCAGTGCTAAGACTAGGGTGGAAGCAGAGAGACCCCTTGGGAGGCTATTGCAAGGGAGATTGGGATGGCAGGGAAGAAGGGTGGAGGGCACTAGAAATGGTGGTGATTGGATTCTTGGATGTATTCATATTTGGGAGGTTGAGCTAGAAGATTTGCTGGTTGGATATGGAGTGAAAAAGAAAAGGTTAGGTTACCTGTAAGGTTTGTGACCTCAATAGCTAGAAAAAAGTTGCCATTTACTGAAATGAGAAAAATTCTTCTCTTTCTGTTTGTATGATCATTGTTAATATTTAGAAATTATGAATGAGAGAACTAATGTGCTTGGGCATGAAAGATGAGATTGGAGAAAATCATCAGTTAAGAAGGCTGAAAAGTCAATGTTGATGATGTAATATGCCTTTTTAGAGACACATATACTAGCGACTATAACCATGGAAAGAAAAACCTGTGGTTCATGTTTGGAGATCATGGTGGTGACCATAAACAAAATTAGATTGAGCCTCTCAAGTGATTTGTCTTTACTTTTACTTTTTTTAAAGATACATTTGTAATTGACAAAAATTATATCGTGTACAATATGATGTCTTGAAATATGTATACTTAATGGAGTGGCTAAATCAAGCTAATTAACATACATCACTTTTTTTGTGATAAGAACACTTAAAATCTTTCTTAGTGATTTTTCAGAATATAGTATAAATACATTGTTATTAACTCTATCCTTTTAATTCATCTTCATTGATGTGGCAGAAGCCACACCGTAATTGTGGTGGATTCTTCTGTTTTTCTCAGCCTGATAATTTGAGAAATAACATACAATGGTGGGGATGATAAATGTAGAAAATATAGGTGTAGAATTCTGGTGATCAGCACCTCTATAGGACTGATAATTTTGGAAACCTTCCCCCAAGTCTGCATCAGACTCATCTCGGTGATACACCTTTTGTCCCTTACGATGTTTCCACGTTTCCTGTGATAAACTGCTAGCAAGAGCACTCGTACATCAGTCACATGTAGGTGGTATGCTGTGCCCCATCTGTCTGACTTGTAAATTCAATAATATGCAAATACACCTTTTCAAACTGTTCTGTGGCTTTTGAGGGAACTAAAGGAGGTTATGAAAACTAACATAGGAAGTTTTTAGCAAGTCCAGTCACCATAAGTGAATATTTGCTATTGGTAAACTGAGGGAAGGATATATTTCTGGGGAGTATGTTTCCATCCAGGATACTTTGTGGCTAGCAGCATGCTAGGTGACAAAGGGAGTAGGATCTGGCCCTCCAGGAGTCCACTGTCTGCTTGGGGAGGGAAATCAAGAGTTGTGTAAAGCAAGTATAATAAGCCAAGGCTTAGATGACCTTGAACATCAGTGAAAGTTTCAAGACAACCTCTGTCTTTAGTTAAACTCCTTGTAGTATGAAGACTTGGGGAGTTTGGAAAAGTTGGAAAACTTTTGATTGAATGATTAAATTGAAATCATTTAAAGGACAATGTCCAAAGTGACATGTTGGATGTCTACCATAAGCTGTAGGGTGTGATAAAATGTTCTTAAAGGGATCATGAGTGTTTGAATCAGGACAAAATATGAAAAATTGCAGGGCAGCAGTAGACCATTTTGAGAAGCTTTGATTAATTGTAGAAAGAATAGTAGAGCCACTGACAACAGAGCAAATTTGGAAAAATGATCTATTTAGAGAGAGCCCTGTTGGGAGTGTGATTTGATGCGGAGAAGGAAATGGGATCTTGGAACATTGCACTATGCTTATAGGTTTTCCTACTCACATTGCACTCAAAACATTTGCAGCCCTCACAGTTCACTGCCTCAATTTTCCCAGACTTAAAAGTAATACTCCTCTCTTGGGGTTGTCATTCTGATTAAAAACCCTGGCTTATGGACTAATAGCTTGTGGCTATATATATGTGATATGTGGTGAAATAGATTTTTTTTTTCTTTTTCCTACATTTTTCTCCCTGATTTCCTTCTCTTTCTTCCACATTTGTTTGATGTCTTTTATGGCTTTGTTGGAAATATGTAAGAAAACCACATAATTCCTATTTAGGTATTATCTTCATTCTTCTGCTTGTGTTTCCACCCTCTGTTAATTTGTGATATAACAATCTTCCCCTGGAGTAATTAATTGTAATTCTACAAGCTGAAAAATTTAACTTCAGGTGAAAAATAAGTAGCAGAAGCTGATGAACCTTCAACAATAAATATTTGTATTTTATGCAGCTGCCACTAGTAATCAAGAGAAAATAACTAAGTAGAACGGACCCTAACTCGCTTGATTGCTTTGAGGGGTGGCCATTCATGCTTGGTGTGTTTGCTGAGGACTAATAGCTATTACGGGATATTTTGCTGAATGTCTGTGGCATATTGCCACCTTGTGGCTGCAAGCTTTCCCTATAAAAGAACAAATTTTTAATGCTAAGTCGACATGATATAATCTTAGTTTACATTTTTCCTAGTATTTACACTTCACCTTGATCACAAAAGATTTGAGACACTGTATAAGAATGTGTAGAATACAGGTAAGAGAATTTAAGAGAATATCCTTGTTCTTAGAAGAGGCATACTGAAGTACTTAGGGGCAAAGGTGCATGGTGTCTACAACTATCACTCACTCTGTGCATGCACATGTGTGTACAGAGAGAGCAAAAGTAATGTGAAAAGAGGTTAACTCACCATTGGTAAAGGGAATGTGGGTGTTTATTGTACTAGTCCTACAACTTTTCTGTAGTTGCAAATTTTTTTCTGAAAATTTTCAAAGTAAAAAAATTGGCAGGAAAAGAAAAAGAAAAATGAGGTAAGGGCAAAAAATGGAGGCAAGAAGGAGGGAAAAATAATCTCTACATTGTGTAATGATCTGACTACAGATGGACCAGTGATTGGATTCTGCATTTTCTAGTAGCTGATGTGTAACTGTTCATGTTTCTCTGGTTACAATTCATTGTCCGTAAGACTGAAGGGCAAAATGTCTGAGGCCAGACAGAAATTTTTCCTTGGAGGCCCTCCTAGGTAGAACACTGATGTAATGTACAGCAGCCTCAACAAATATCTTATGATCAGTACAACTCCTTATTCAAAAGGCTTTTTCTTTTTTAAATTTGCACTCAGGGATCCCTTTTCCCTGCTGATCTGGCTTTGATCATGGAGTGGGTGGGCAGTTAGTTCTTCAAGGGTCTCTCTCTAAGATACTAACTGGCAATGTGTTTGAGATGGTACTCACGGAGAAGTGTTTGAAACCAGCTATTTGGTGTTCCTAATGAATACAGTTGAGCTTGGGGATAAGTTGACATCTCTTAACAGTTGAGCCAATGAGATCTGTTCTATCAACTAACTTGGGAGGGGCTACTCACAGGCAGGGCCATTTTTTTGTGCGTGTAGTGATTTTGAATATGCTGCGATATATAGATGGACAGATGGATGACCTAGACTCCAAATTTCTTTTTCTTATAAATACATCTGTGGTAGTCTTAATTTGAAAAAATTCAGACAGGTAGTCCACCTCTCTTCCCTGGAAAACGAAATAAGTCTCAGTAAAATAGCCCTTAAAATACCTGGTTTTGAGCAATGTTACCCAAGTCTTTTCTGTTCTTAAATTTCTAGAAAGTTGGACCTTTATGTGGCAGTTGGATTTTCATGAGTATCTGAATATATTTTTGCTTTTCTTTTTTGGTCCTTAATAACTTATCTGGACATATGTATATGCACATGAGTATTTTTGTCCTTAACTGTCTTAGACGTATATTCATATGTACTTACTTGAAGGTGAACATTTTAGGAGGTTTGGCACGATGCAAGTATAAGAGGCTTTCTTATAAAAGCAGAACACATCTTGAAATAAGTGTTGTGACACAAGGGATTCTTTTATAGAAAGCTGTCTCTTGAAGTGACTTTGGTTTCTCTGGTTCTTGTGACAGGTTTTCTTTTAAAAAGCTATACAGTGATGTAGGAATGTATTGATTTCCATTAAGGGCTATGGTGCTTAGAAATTTCTCTCCTGTACATGTTTGTGAGCAAGCAATATGTGAATTTTCTTTTGTAACCAACTCAAGAAGTGATCTGTTGGCTTCTCTATAGAGCAACATTCTTCAATTTTGGGGAAAACCACAGACCACAGAAATACATATTTTATATAGTGACCCAGGACACACACAAACATGCATAACTGAATCAAAAATTTCATGAAACCGTAGCTTCTCTTTCTTCATTGGACTCTGATAATTTTTGTTCTATTGCATTAAAAAATACTGTTCACAGTCTACTAAACTTGATTTCATGACCTACCAATGTGTTATGACCCATAGCTTGAAAAACACTGCTGTTGAGATTTTCAGCAAGCCAGACTCTTGCAGATGGAAAACACAATAGTGAAATCCTGAATTCTCTAATCTAGCCAAATTGAAAACAGTTTGGGAGAAAGGGGTTTGGAGAAGGGAAAGAAGGGAAGAAAGTGTGAGTGGATGGTATTTCCTTCTGGGTTGTGTTTTGTGTCCCCAGCAAATGATGCAATTCTTCTTCTCTCTGCAGCTTGACCACATATTGTCTCCTCCACCCATGCCGTTTCGGAAATGCAGCAACCCGGATGTGGCTTCTGGCCCTGGAAAATCACTGAAGTATAAAAGACAGCTGAGTGAGGATGGAAGACAGCTGCGGCGAGGGAGTCTGGGAGGAGCCCTGACTGGTGAGTCAAGGGTGGCTTGTGTACGAGAAGGAATTGCTTTTCTCTTAATAGGGTCCTGAAGGGCCCTTGAGTTCCGCATGTGACAGTCAGCCTGCTTGAGAATACACCTGCCTCTCTGCAGACCGTGGGGTAAAATTGCATCCAATCCAGAAAGCAGTTAAATTGATTAGTAGTAAACTTGACTGAAATATAATTTACATGCAAAAATTGTCCCCATTTTAAGGGCATATACGAATGGATTTTGGCAAATTTATACCCCAGTTTAACTACCCCCACGATCAAGATGTAAAATATTCCCTAGTCACCTCACCCTCCACCTCCACCCCACTCCTAATCCTTGGCCCCAGGCAACCATAGATCTCCTTTCCTCACTATGGATTAGATTTATCTTAAGAGTTTTATAGCAATGGAACCATCCAGTCCCTACCCTTTTGTGTCTGGCTGCTTCTGCCCAGTGTGATGTTTTTAAGATTCATCCATGTTGTGCATGTATCCGTAGCTAGCGTTCTATACCACTGTAGGGTGACTACAGTTAACAATAATATATAACCTCAAATAGCTACAAGGATGTTGAATGTTCCCAACACAAAGAAATGTTAAATGGTGGGTGATGGATATACTGATTACACTGATCTGATCACGATGTATTGAAATATTGCTATGTACATTGTGACCACACAATGATTATTGTCAATTACTAAAAAATAAAATTAAAAAAAACCCCTGCAAAACTGTTTTCTAAAATCGTACTATTTTACATTCTCACCATAGATGAGCAATCTAATTACTCTGCATCCTTGCTAACCTGTGGTATTACCAGTCTTTCATTTTAGCCATTTTAATCGTATCGTAGTCCTATCACCTTATGGTTTTCATTTGTTTCCTTGATGGCTAGGTAGTATAGAACATCTTTTCATGCACTTACTGGACATTTATATATATTCTTTTGTGAAGTATCAGTTCAAATCTTTTACCACTTTTTAAATAGCATTGATTAAATAAGAAATTTTCAAATCTAGAAAACCCACAAATCATTTTTATTGTCTTGCAAAATAGCCAAATTAAGATAAGTTAAAACATGGCTTTTTAAAAAATAACTCGCCATTTAAAAGTTCATGTTATTTAACTTTAAATCACTAAAGGATAGATTTCTGTTATTTCATCTGAGTGATTTTTCCTCCAGATATAAATATTTTCAGAATACTTTATTGTTTTTTAAACCCCAACACGAAGTTTTCTCTTCCATATGACAGTCTTGTCTGCCAATTCAAAAATGGCCTGGAAAATAAGTTGAATTACTCACTTTTTTTTTTTTTTTTGAGAATTATGGATTTTTGACTTTTCAGAGATGAAATTTCTGGGAATAGAAATGCTTTTGCCACATGATCAGTAGAGTCTGGAACATTTGACCCAGTGCGGTGCGCTGCTGGGATAGAGGGTGAAACTGACCTCAGGCCAAGGGGAAGAAATTCATCAAAAAATTGCTGCACTTCACTGAGTTTGAGGCAAATCTTTTCAATTGAGTTTTACCGATGTTCTTCTAATGCTCGTTCGGACATTTTTCTTTGTTTTCCTTTTATAGGTGTAGACTGTTTGCTTTTTTAAGTGGGAGATCCTAAAGATTATTTATCCTAACTCCATATAGGTAGGAAAACTAAATCTCAAAGACCCTTACAGACCCTTAAATCTGGGCATGGATATATTGATAACGTGCCTGACAGTTCACAGTGAGGAAGCTGCGGAATGAGGGACAGAACCTCAGGATTTTGAATCCTGGCTTCTTGATATGCAAATGAGTGCCCCAAATCCGTGTCCTACATTGCACGACTGTGATGTGTGTTGCAGCCTTAACAGTCAGAAAATGAAGGCTTCTTTTCCTCAGGAAGAGAGTTGTGTTTTTCAAATGTCTGGGTTGTTTGAAATGCAAAAGAAATAGGAATCTATATATGTGTATAACATGCACATAATAAGAAAACAGCTTTGTAGACAATATAAACTAAAATTTCTAAAACCGTTAGCATCATGATGTTCTATCTTGGGGAAAAAAGTTAAGAGTTTTCTTTTTTGGACTATGGAAATCAATTTGGAATAACATCTGAAAATTTTAAAAGCATTTTAGAGTGAATTTTACTTGAAGAAGGAAAGGAAAAACAAACCACAATCCTAGAAAACATTCTTTCATTTAAAATTCACCTGATGATCTAGAGGCTGGAGGATTTCTTGAGGCCAGTTTGAGACCAGCCTGGGCAACATGGTAAGACCCCTGTCTCTACCAAAAAAAGAAGAAAAAAAAAAAGAGCGAGCAGAGAATTAGCCAGGTGTGTGGCACATGCCTATAGTCTCAGCTACTTGGGAGTCTGAGGCAGGAGTATTGCTCAACCCCAGGAGTTTGAAGCTGCAGTGAGCTATGATCATGTCACTCCAGCCTAGGTGACAGAGCAAGACACCATCTCTAAAAAAATAAATAAATAAAATTAACCTGGAAATCATTATGTTTGAGTACTGCGTAGCACTTAACGAGTTTCTTATCCTAAAAGCCTCCTTAGCTTAGTGGGCAAGTCTAAAGGAAATCAGATTAAAGCCAATTTACATCAAGTATGGCTGTTTTGTGGGTAGCTTTGGTGTTTAGTAAATACCATACCTAAATATTAATGCAACTTAAACTCTCCTATACACTCTAGATTTCATTTTTGTATTAATAATACCATCAAAAGAATGCCTATGTAAAAATGGTGTATGTGAAGGTAGTGTTACATGCTATGATAAGCAAACCAAAAAATATCAATGGCTTAAGACAATAGTAGTTTATTTCTTGCTCATGTAACTGTTCAAAGTAAATGTTTTGGGTTAGCAGGCAGGTCTCTTCCCACGGTGATTCAGGGACCCACATTCCTTCTGTCTTCTGGTTTTGTTCTTCATGGCCTTGAGAGGCCCCAGTTTCCAGTTGGCAGAAGTGGAAAGAAAGGGGAGAAACACTTTTGACTTCTTAAAAGTCCCAGCCTGGAAGAGACACACTCGTTTCCATTCACATTCTCTTGGAAAGATCTAGTCACATGGTCACAGCTGACTGTAAGGTTGGTATGGGTGGGGTGCTAAGAGATAAGGGTCCCTGCCAGCCTGCGGCCTCAGAGTCCAACTTACACAAGAGGCAAGGGGTGCATCGCTTACTAAGTCAGACAAGACTGGGAGAGAAATAGATCTTAATAAGGACAGGATGTGATTAATTCCATTTTGAGTACGTTAAGTTTGAAATGCCTATGAAACATGCTAAATAGGTATGTTAAGAAGGACTGTGGAATTTCAGAGGCAGAAGGAAGCATATTCAGGGAAGGAAAGGTTGGCAAACTATATGTTGGCTGCATCTGAGAGAGTGAGAAAGATGAAGACAGGAAAGTATCATTGGATGGAACAATATAGCACTAGGTAATCTTGGGGAGAGTAGTGAGGTACACATAGAAGCTAGAGTGGTGTGGGTGAAGACATAATGGTAATTTAGGAATTAAAGATGGCTTATGTGTTGATAGATGTGAGAATTCTCCAGAGGCACAGAACTAGTAGGATATATATATGTATATGAAAGGGAGTTTATTAGGGAGAATTGGCTCACATAATTGTAAAGGTGAAGTCCCACAATAGCTGTCTGCAAATGGGGGAATGAGAAAAGCTGGTAGCATGGCTCAGGTCAAGTCCAAAAGCCTCACAACAAGGAAGCTGATAGTGCGGCCCCCAGTCTGAGGCCCAAGGCCTGAGAGCCCCTGCTGGTGCAAATACCAGAGTCTGAAGGCCAAAGAACCTGGAGTCTGATGTCCAAGGGCAGGAGGAGAAAAGGTGTCCTCCTCTGGAAGCGGGGAGAGAGGAAGCTTAGCAGGCTGAGTATCCCCCTCCCTCCAGCCTGTTCTGTTCTGGACGGTGCCTGCCCACACTGAGGGCGGGACTTCCTCTCCAAGTCCACGCCCTCCCAGACACAACCACAAACAGTGCTCACCAGCCATTTAGGCATCCCTCAGTCCAGTTGAGTGGACGCCTGAAATTAACCAGCACAAAAGATGAAAGTATAGATGGCTCTTTGAGAAGTTGTGCTGTGAAAGGGACTAGAAACATAAGGTGTGAGCTGGAAGGATGTGAGAAGTCAGAGCCATCCTCGTGCGTGAGACACAGAGCATGTTTGTAAGGTGTTGAGGATGGTTTCGATGAGAGAGATGATAGCCAGAGACGGTATTAATATTGGAGGAATGGGGTTCGGTATCCAGAGCACACGTAAGAGAGTTGGCCTTTCATAGATGGAGGGTCACTTCCTCCACTCCATCAGGAGGAAGGAGGAGAAGATAGATGCAGAGGCAGGTAGTTCAGGTACATTCCATCTCTACCGTGGAATACTACTCAGCAATGAAAAGGAACACACTATTGATACACACAACAAACTGGCCGAATCTTCAGAGAATTATGCTGAGTGAGAAAAGAGTCAATCCCAAGGTTATGGAGTTCCATTTATAGATAACGTTCTAGATATGACAGAATTATGGAAATAGAGAACTGATTAGTGGTTGCCGGGGATGAGGTGGGAGGGAAGTAGGCATGGCTAGAAAAGGGCAACGTGAGGGATCCTTGTGATGATGGAAATGTTCTATACTGGACAGTGTCCATGTCAGTCCCCGGGCTGTGATGGTGCACTATAGTTTAAGATGGCGGTCCCCAACCTTTTTGGCACCAGGGACAATTTTCATGGAAAACAGTTTTTCCATGGACTGGAGGGGAGGGATGTTTCAAGATGATTCAAGCGCATTACATTTATTGTGCACTTTATTATTATTACACTGCAATATACAATAAAATAATTATACAACTCACCGTAGGTTTAAGATGTTACTATTAGGGGAAGCTGGGTAAAGAGGAGAACCTGAGAGCTTTCTGTATTATTTCCCACAATTGCATCTATATCTACAATTTTCTCAAAATAAGTTTAACTTTCAAGATGTCTGCTTTCCATATCACTGATTTTA